TACTACTGTTTGAAAAAATGGATCTACAAGAATGTGCTCGGATTAAATTATGTTCTTTGTGGCTATGCCTGGACAACATATGGTTCAAATATAAAGACAAACTAATTTTCTTTCGATATTTTTTTACTTCTTTCAAGTATCTTGTACCAATTTGTTCATTCAAGGTCAATTTATGCGTTGAAGGAAAGGTTAATTGGAGGAAGCGTGAGTTCTCGAGTTTTCACAACTATAGACGCTATTTTGTTTAAAAATCATGACATGCTCACAAGTAAGACAAAAAATTTCAATATTTAATACAAGTATTGCATCGGTAAATACTTAATAGAATTATTTAAAAAAACCTAAGTATCAGGTTAAATGAGCAGGACTTGGCATTCAAGACCAAGACTAAGACTAAAAGTATTTGAGCAAGACCAAGACCGAATAATTAAAACCAAAACCAATACTAAGACTGGAACAGTTTTGGTCTTGGCCTTACCTTGCTCATCACTACTTTTACCATTTTTTAGCAATTTGTTGTGGACGACACCTTGCGTACAGTGACAATTATTTAGACACTTATTAATCTTCTTTGATGCTACATGCCATTTAAAAATGTTCATTCAGTTAAACATAAAAAAAGTGAAGCGTTAGATAAGGGGAATAAATGGACTGGAAAACCAGGACGAATAAAACATAAAAGGAATGATGAACAGCCATTGGTGGGTTTTAATCCTCATGGATTTTGCGTGAGCTCTCTGTTACGTTAAAATGTACACCGTACACTGTTCTGGAAATGGAATTTTAAGCAGGTGGCGATTCAGAATTCATTCTAATGAAATGTTACTTTAGCTAATTGCAACTTGTACGCTATATTTTACGATACATAGAATGAGTCATGCGTGACTGTGTGTACAATCACACACGGCATTTCTGCATTAGTGGTTTCTGTTGAGCAATTTATTTTGCGGATACATCACTTCCGATATTGTAGTGAGGCTTACTGCTGTATGCATCATAAAAATGCGTTGGCAGTTGGGATTTCGCAAGAAAACGTTTCGAAAAGTTTTGCCTTAATGTTTGTTATTGATCAACGAAGTAAAATCATACAAAAAACTATAAACTGTATAAAGCTATTAGAGACTTGTTCTCAAATATTGTAAAATACAACAATGTCTTGTTGATGAAGGAAATAAAATGATCATTATCATCATTATAAAGTCGTCAGTCTTAAGATTGGTTGGACACGCACCTCCACTGTTTCCCCTAGTGAGCTAATCTTTCCATTTCCTTGAAACCAGAACATTCCACATTCTTAATCACTTGTGAACAGTAAGCTAATCTAGATCTACCTCTACTTCTCTTATCTGCTGTTTGTGCTTCTAATATGTCTCCAACTAGCCCTTTATGTCTGAGATGGTGTCCTAACAACCTATCTCACCTATTCCTTATTAACATTTTTAGTGCCCCCTGCTCTCCAACTCTTTCTAATACCTTCTCTATCCACGGTATCCTCATCATCGGCCTGCAACACCACATTTCAAAACCGTGCTCCAGATATACCTACCCTTAACAATCTTTTTCGAATTTCTAATTAGAAATCCAGTCAAATGACTTGCTATCAGAGGATTTCTCCTCGGATGCGTTATTGGACAATTTTAAAAAATGTTTTTAATACAATCAAATCTTATCTGCACATGTAATTAATATGTGTACATCAAAAATTCTGGTATTTTAGCGTTAGAAAATGTCAGCATTGCGAACTTGTTAACATTTACATAGATTTGACTGATTCATCTCACACCACATTGTAACATACTTGAGGGTCTTCCTGAAGTTCCAAGGGATCATCATAAGAATCGTAAATAAGGTTGATGTCATTCACATAAATTAGAAATTCAGGACATTTAACAGATATCGAAATATTGTTTATAAATAAACCAAATAAGAGGGGACCAAGACGCTATCCCTGCGGAACTCCAGAGGTGACATCAAATGGTTCAAACAGGGCCACCTGTGTTAACAGTCAATTTCTTAGTGTACAAATATGAATCAAGCCAACCTGAAACTCCATAATTATTTTAATCTTTTTAAAAACCCTGCATGTTAACATCGCAGAAAAAAAAATCTTTTCAGGGATGACTGCTCCTCTACATTCTCTGCTAAAGAACACTTGTGCTTTATCTGTCTTTATACACACATGTTCATGTTAAATGTTGTATATTATACAATTTTATAATTTTCTTATATTTGTTCCAGGATGTAGAGGGAGGCGTGTAGGTGGGCATAGTGACCTCATCATTTTTGTTTCTTCGTCTTATCAGAGAAGCATGTCCATTACAGTGGTGGAATTGGAAAGCTGGTTGATTTACCAGTGTATCGCTACTGAATGCAGTCATTGTCTCTGTATGTATTTACTTCCTTTTTACTGCCCTTTTATTAACGTTTTTACAGGCTTCACGCGCATAATATTGACAGTGTAACTTGATCATCATTAAACAACCAGTATCGTGTCTCAATTGCTATCTTAGATCTCATCACTACTTTGTGATATCGTGTTTGTTTTTTACGCCAGTTCGGTTAGTTTTGGTGTTTGTTTTGTAAGAAGTTACTGGATATACCGGGTGTTCATAAATAGTTTGCAAGGGGAGCTGTAGATTTAGGCCATTTTAGATATTTAATTGGGTAACTTTTTTCTGAAGCTAGTACGTTGATAACTTTTAGTTAATGAAGTGAAAAATGGCCTCAGTACCAATTGAAAATATACTTTTTTTTTGTGGTAAAAATTCAAGTTATCCTAATCCTGCATTTTGAAATTGTAGTATTCACCAGAGACGAAATGAATATCGAAACATTTTTTGGTTGTTAAAAATAACCAAATGAATGGTTTCTATTGGTTTATCCCAATTCCCATTTCAGTTATTATCGGCTTTCCATTTAATATTTATTATTCATTTGTTCTTGAGCGTGATGTGTACATAGTGGGTCTGCTGTAAGGTTTTATTTTGGAAACTAGGTTAAATCTATACAAAAGGTAGAATCAAATAGACTACAAATGCTTTGATCATTTTTTTTTGTGATGTATTCGGAGACACTATACAGGGTGAGCTTTAACTATGTTGACAATTTGCTTTGTCTATATTCTAGAAACACACAGGGTGTCGTTAATTGCGCTAATTTATGGAATTTTTTGTGACCTTAGCCTAGAGGTTAGAAATGAAGAGGTACCTATTAGAAAGAATAACAGACCAGAGGACTCTGTCGTAGTCAATAAATAAGAAATAGGCGAGATAGATTTATAGGACACCTTCTTAGACATGAAGGGCTAGTTAGAGACATGCTTAAAGTAGAAACAGGAGTTAAGAGGAGTAGAGATAGACACAGATTACTGTTCAAAAATAGTTAGGGATGTGGAATTCTCTAGGAAATGCGAAAATTAGCTCAGGATAGGAAAGAGTGGAGGCGCGTGTTTAGCTAGTCGAAGTTTACGAGACATAAGTAAGGCACCAAGTGTAAATTTTATTGGTAAGTGGATCAAAATGTTGTTAGCAACCGGGTCAGCAGTGAGAATAATAAATAATTAATGAAGGTCGCCCAAAATCAGCGAGCAAATGAATCCGTTAGACGAAATCCTCGGCAATACTCGGAAAAGAAACCAATAAGCTTTAAACATAAAAAGAAAAACTTTTTGAAGTATTTTGTGTTAGTTACTTGCATCTAAGAAATGCTTATAAAATCCAGCTTACTCAAGAACTGAAACTCAGTGACGTCAACTTTCGGCTCAATTTTGTAAACATAGTCTTCAGCGATGGGGTCAACTTCCACCTGAAAGACAATATTAAGAAATAGATTTGTCTGTTTTGGTCTAAGAAAAATCCCTAGAAAAAGCATTGACGTTCTTTTCATAGCCCTAAGCTTGTTGGGTGGACCGTGGACTTCAATATCAATAAGGGGAATAGTTGACCTATACTTATTTGAAAACGAAAGAGAAGTCGCAGTGACGATGAGAGCCAAGAATTATTGTGAGGTAGTGCTTGTCAAGAATACAATGGGCATTATTGCTGGACCTTGTAGCGCCAGTGTCTGTAGACCTCTTATAAAAGAGATAGGAAACTAGTCTTGTGAGGAGGAGGCAATCAGTTGCCTCCACGGAGTCCGGGGGAGGGTTTGAGGGGATACATAAAATACGCCGAACTACATGACCTAGAGGTTTACATCATTGCTTATTATTAGGGCCTGCTTCAAGTTTTTCTGTGGATTCCTTGGATCACTTAGGAAATGCTAAAGGAGTAATATTTCACAGGTATTCACTCTCTTCTGCATTAATTTCGTTTGTTTCATCTTTATCGCTCCAATCACCACCCACCCATTCCTATTATTCCCAAAAGGAGACTGAAAAAGGCCTTCTGCCCTACCTCTGATGTAGTTCGGAGAGACTGACTGCTCGTCCACCAGCAGTAGTAGTTGGTGAGAATAAAACACCAGAAGTTTTATATTTTACTAAAAATTGAGGGACTATGCAGATAATCCGACTACCTTAGAACAGTTAAAGCGTAACATTTTTTGGAACGTTAACGCCATTCCAAACGCAACGTGTTACTGTGTTTTGAAGAATGCCAACAAGCTGGTTAACGTCATTTAGATAGCATCATCATCATCATCATCATAAAGTCGCCAGTCCTAAGACTGGTTGGACAGGCACTTCTTCTTTTTTCCATTCTGAGCTAATCTTCGCAATTCCCTAAAACTAGGTAGCATTATTTTTTTACGTATATAAGACGGTTGGTTTTTATTGGAAAGTAGTTAATGTAGGTGAAGAGTGAAGATCTATGTCTGAAGTGCTATTGCAGCTTTTCACTGAACATATTAACTTTTTATTTGATTTAACTTTAGAAGAAAACTTCGTCGACTCCATCATCAAAAAAATTTTTACTTTTTTAACGTGTTTTATTATTTTAATAAACAATTTTAC